AGAAGTTGTGGGTGTAAACGAATTGACTTGTCATCATTTACGTTGAAAATGAACGGAATTAGGTCTCGTCAGGCCAATCTCGAAAATTCGGGCAAACTGCAGTTCTTCCTTCTCAAAAATAAGAGATTCTCCTGGTCATAGCACATCCATCCTTGAATAAGTTGGCATGAGAATCGCATTACTATTAATTCAAATCCTTCCCATGAAGCATGATTTGCCAGCCCTAATGCCACATGCATCTGACGAAAAGCCTCCATATTCTTGAAACCGAAGTAAAGAAGTCGAATCACACCCACCAGTTTAGTCCAACCGACATTTGAACGAATTAAAGGGGATTCAAAATAAAGGGCAAATAGTGCGCAACGCAATGAGGAGTAACGCGCTGGCTTTCCGATGTGCATAAACAATCTCTTGGCCTTGACAAGTAGCTGAACATCCCCAAAGGTGAGTACAAGAGCCAACCCAAAAATTGGACGTCGTTGTGGTCATCCGAAGTGCAAATAGTTTGTCTTTTTACAAAATTTTCAGTGAAGCCAATCATGATCATGTTGCACAATAGAAATATTCCTGAAATTGAATACCCCTTTGATATTGACCATGTGTCTTAAAACTTCGTCGTTGGGAGAGCCTCTAAAAGTCGGTTAGTGGTAAAACTAGTCAAAAACACAAAAAACAAATAACGCATAATAGGTTCTACTTGATGAAGCAATTTTTGAAAATAATTAACACGTTCCGTAAACCCCTCAAAATTTGAGACATTCTGCTGCAGGGCAAAAGAAAACCGCCTAAATAGAGGAGTCTTTACATGAGTGCTCTAACATAGTTGTTGATCAACTTAACTTGTGGTGTTCTAGTTTAGCTACAGAGAGTTGACTAATAACTTGAATGAGCTTACCACCAACAACGGGAACTGCCTCAGTCTCCGGCACCGCAGTAATTCCCTCATTCGTCTCTTCCACCATTACCTCCGACTTCGGTTTAGGCTGACCTTCGCCTCTGGCCTCTTGGTAATGTTCTGTAGGCAGCAATTGAGGCAACCATTAATACTTGGAAAGTTGGATCAACAGAAAAATTTGTGGAGGCAAGAGTGAGTCTACGTTGGGGGTACTTTGGTAGTAAATTATACTATCTCACCACAACATTGCATTAAACAGACAAAGAAAGCTACAAATAATTCATCCTCAAACAAACTCACCTTTGTTGTCGTCCTCTGTCCCTTGTGTCGCTGTCGATGTGTCAGTCTCGTCAGCTCTTAGTGCCTCATTTTGAGGTTCTAGAAAGAGAATTCAAGGTTTAGAACTAGGCCATCGATGAAGCAACACAAAATTTTCACGGAAACTGTCAAATTAAGTCTCTCTCCTCCGCATTTTTGCGCTCATTTTAAATTTTCCAACTTCTGTTCCAGTAAAAATTTAAAAATGCCTGATTTGCTATAAAAAAAGCCGAATCTACCATAATGGAAGGGATGACCCACCTTTCGATTGTGTCTCAATGACGGCTACTTGTATGGTGTCACCTAATTTCTCCTCAGTCTTTTGAGGTTCCTCATCTGCGGACTGGCCATCAAATTCCCTTCCCTGTTCAGTTTCTGTTTGAACAAAGCGACCATGGTGATGCTTCTATAGAGGTAACCATTCTGACCGTAAAAAAGTGTAAAGCGCAAAGCCTAAAAATCACCATCTGATGAAGGAACATGTTTTCGACACTACATTGAAATAGCAGTTTATTATTAGCCAAGAGGATTGAATAAACCTTTCTACCTCTCGTATCGCAACTCATGACTCCCTACCAGTTCACTAAAATAAACGACACCTTAAAGATAAGACAAAACATCTTGGTTAAACAATCACTCCCTCACTACTTTCCTTTGGCCTACTCAATGATATATTTGGTAGCTTACGAAACACTGGAACACCTAAACACAAAAGCCACTTTTTATCACGAGTCAATTAGTGAGCAGGCTAAGAGCTAGGAGTTTCCACAGCAGTAGCAAGACATTAAGACCAAATCCACGGCTGTTGGAGCTCAATGTCGACTAGTATTTTGCGTGAATGGAAGCCATTTGCTTCTCTTCTGTAACGCTTTGCTTAACTCTTCCTTTTAGTTACGCTGACACCCAAGACTCCGCCATTCTACTTCCGCTGGAAGGCATGGCCTCCCACCCACCCCTTCTGTATGCCAACAATACATTTTCCATGCTAGTATTATGCGTTCTTCCGATTTCAGGAAAGATCCGAGGTGCCAAATGTCTCACTACGATTTTTCTCCTCCTGGATGCCATAGGTACGCAATAAGTGGCTCCTCATCGCTCACAATAACCATGACTGGAGGTTGTTCGTCACACACTGTCCTCGAATCATTTCAATCAGTACCGATGCGTACTACTTCCTTAGCAGAAACGGAGTATCTTCCCGATCTTAGTGCCTCTACCCTTGAATGATCTATCAACGAAAACAAGCTACTTTTCCTAATTGATTTTGTGTAGTGCGTTCTGCTAACTCAGTATCTTTTAAATGCATGCGCATCTGACGAGAAGCCTGTGCAGTTCTGTAACCAAGCCAAAATCTCAAATTACATTTACCAGTTTAGTTCAAACGACATTTAGAATGAGAGTGGAATCAAAGAAAAGAGCAAATGGTGTGGAGCACAAGAAGTTGTATGGTGATATACAGGCGAATATCTATGCCGTTTAATGTAGTTAGGCAACTGCATAGATTCGACAAGTCCCTAAAAATCACCACAAGTCTATGCAATAGCTAACCCGAAAATCCACCTAGTCCCTTTAAACATCTGAAACGTAAATTATTTATTTACGGAACTTCTTGCAAAAACGCCAACCGTGATCATGTTACGCAAGGAAAGGGCTATCCTCAGAAATTGAGCGACCTTTTGAAATGATAAACGTGTCTTGAAACTACCTTATTCTTGACCCCTTAAATAATCTGTTTTCATCGAAACCTCTCAATTGTGTGCAACAAATAGGTATGAGAAAATCGTAATGACATCTATATGCTAGAATAACTTTTAAAAAGAACTCGAAACTATTCTTTAAACCCCTTGAAAGTGAGGGTATTCCACTGCAAGGCAGGAGAAATTCCCCTAACTAGGAGAATGAGCACTTGATTTTCATCCTAAAATGAGGGATCCAAAATGGTTGGTGATCTAACCAGCCCGTGCCATACTGTTTAAGGCAGAAACTAGTACCCAGCCTGATGGATCCTAGACTCATTTTTATGCAATAAAGTAGCTGAGCTTACCAACGACAACAGGAATGGCCTCAACCTCGGGCTCCATCGCAGCCCTCTCTTCCGTCCCTTCCACAACTCCCGCAACCTTTAATTCAGGCTGAGCTGCATCTTGGCCTTCTTTGGAGGCTTCTTGTTGACGTTCTGTATGCAATGGTAAGTGCACTTTTCACTACAACTTAGAAAGCTAGATCAACTGGTAAATTCTGGGATGCAGCAGTGGGTTTCTTTTGTGCGTGTTTTTGCGGTAAAGTACACTAGGTCACCACAAAACTGCATTTAATTGGCATTTACTTCAGCGAATACCTCATTCTCACATAAACTCACCTTCGATGTCTTCAGTGTGTTCTCCCTTCTGTGCCGACGTCGGATCGTCAACCGCATTATTTCTTAGTGCCTCATGTTGAGATTCTTAAAAACCATTTAGATTAAAACAAAGTTTAGGACTAGTCCATCAGTAGAGCAACGTAAACCGTTCATGACAAGTGCCACATTACGTTCACCTCACACGTTTACGCATAGGTTTTTGACTTTAACATTCTAGCCTCTATTCAGGCTAGAATTTAAGACGGCTCAATTTTCCAGAATGCCTTATCTGCAATGACTGTAGAGTCGACTCACCATCCGATTGTACCTCAATGACTGTCAAAGCCCTAGTTTCTTGTTCTGCATCACATAAGTTTTTCTCGAACAATAAAGCTCCCTCGTCTTTTGATTGGCTGTCAGCTTCCCTCCTCTGTTCATGGTCTGGTAAAACAAAGTAGTCTTACTAATACATTCACAGAAATAGCCAGCATGATGTGTACCATTGCCCATGAATCAGTGAAGGTGTAAATCAAATTACTCAAGCATTACCATCTAGTAAAAGAAGACATTTCTGGTTGCAAATTACCCCCACAGTTTAACTAAGACGGCTTAGCAGTTCGTTCACCCCCGGGTTCAGCTTAGCTGGTACTACAGTCTCCACTGATCAAACATTCGCTCACCCGCATGATCCTCGGGCCATGCCATTGGCCTCCCGACCATCTTGTGCGTCAGTGATGCGTCCTGTGCCGCGGTGCTATGACACTTTACAACTTCAGACATTAATAAACCCCCCCTATCGCCCATTTCACATCTCACACCTCCACCAGTTCACTGCAACAGCTGGTACTCCAAAGCTGAGCGATGTAAGGAATCAGCTTTTTTCGTTGGAACATCTCTCTCTCTCCCTTCATTCCCTTCGTTTTAGGCGATAATATATTTGCTGGGTTAAGAAAAAGTGATAATCCGCAAACACAAACGCCACTTTCTGAAACAAGTCAGTCAGGGAGCAGTATAACAGCGACGGGTTTCAACAACACAAGTGAAAGACTCGAAAAATAAGTTGATTGTCATTTGAGCCTAATGTCATCCGGCATTCCTTGTGAGGGAGATCCATTTGCTCATTGCCACCAACAATTTGTTTAACTCTTCGTTTAGTTTACACCAGCACTTAAGGCCCCACGACTTTACTTCCACCTGTCGGGATGGTCTCCGAGAGCCCAGCACGTCAGCAGCCCCTCGGGCCTTTCATACATCAGAGATAAATTTTCCAACCTAGCATCATTGCTTCTTCCGATTTCAGAAAAAGCACGGGAAGCCGAATCTCTACTGTGACTGTCCTCCCTCCCAGTTGCCGTAGATGCAAAAGACTTGACTCTCCATCACTCATAATAACTATGCCTTCGGGTTGTTTGTGATACCCTGGTCTTAAAACATTTCAATCAATCATCTCAATCACTTCTGCTTTATTAACAGAAATAGAGGATTTTCTCGGTCGTAGTACATCCGACCTTGAATGATCTACCACAAAAGGCAAACGACGCATTCAAACCACTCATGCGCAGCGCGTTCTGCTGCCTCAGTCTCCACTTACTATACGCATCTAACGAGAAGCCCGTGTAGTTGTGGAATCGGAGCCATCAACCCAATTCACGCTCACCAGGCTAGCTCGAATGGCATTTAGAGAAT